CCGGTCACCCCACAGCTCCTCGTTGCCGCGCTCGCCCGCGCTGCCGAGATGGCACCAGCGTATGCACACCACATGCCCGACCTCACCGCGCGTATCGGCAATGCCGGCTCCCCAACGGCTCTTGTGTGCACGTTGGTTGGGCCGTGCGGCAACTGCGAGAGCCGGATGGTTACCTTTTATCGCCGGTGCAAGAAGCCCTTCTGGAGTGGTTCCGCGGCTGGGCCTTCAGGGGGCACGAACGAGCATGTCCGCATCCTCTTCTCGACGATGAAGAGGATTCTCGACTGCTGCATGCTGCCGCGCTCCGGCTGGCGCAAGCCCAGGTCCCCGTTGACATCCTGGACGGCCTGCGCGTTGGACGATTGGTCGCCCTGCATAAGCCTAATGGTCGGGTGCGAGCGCTTGTCGTCGGCGACGTGCTGCGCCGGCGCCTTAGCCCAACACTTCGCGCCCCAGTTCCAAGCTGCTTGCATGCCACACCAATTCGGACTCAGCACCCGTGTGGGCACCGAAGCTGTCAATCGCTTGCTCGATCCGCGCAGCAACCGAAGCCAACCCCCGCGCCACCATCCTTTCAGTTGATGCCGTCGGCGCCTTCGACCATGTTGCTAGGGGGGCCATCTTGGATGCTTTGCCCCTTCTGCCCTACTCCCGGCAGTTCTACGCGAGCCCCAGCACATACACGTGGTACGACGACCATGGGGTCGCCCACGACGTCCACCAAGGTGAAGGCGGCGAACAGGGGGACCCACTCATGCCGGCCTTCTACGCGCTGGCCCAGCACACCGCGTCTTCGCGTTCCTTGACTACGTGTACATCGTCGCCCTGCACCGGAACTTTACGATGCCCTCGCAGCCAAGCTCTGGGACCGCGCTCGGATTCGTCTGCACGAGGGCAAAACCAGGATCTGGAATGCGGCATCCCGCCATCTTGGCCTTAAGCGTGACGAACAGGACCGATTGCTGCGCCGCATCCCGTTGCTCGAGGACCTGCAGGCAGCCTGGCTTTTGCTCCAGGCCTGCGCCGCCCCGCGCGCCAACTATCTGCTTCGCATCAGCTTATACGGCAGATTACGCCGCAGCGCATGGCGGTCGCCCGGTGCTTGGCTGCGCTGCTCGAGCACGGTGATGCGCCCCTGCCTCCGGCCGGGCTTCGCGTTGCTCACCTGGCCCTGCGCTTTGGTGGACTCGGCCTCCGCTCGGCTTGCAACGACGGCCCTGCAGCGCACTGTGCGTCATGAGCGCCCGCGCCCTCGCCGCCGCAACCCGCCTCCTTCAGGCCTTCAGCGGCGACGAGCCACTGCCATCCACGGCAGCCGCCGTCCTTGCGCGAGCACACTCGCAGCACAACAGCTTCGACGTCCCCGACTGGGTCACTGCGACAGCTGGCCCCCCCCCACCTCCTCCTTGCCGGCCTGGCGAAGCGACCGCGCCACCGTCTTTCAAAGGATGGCAGCGGCTTGCCGCCCGCGCGTGTGATGAGCGCGCGTACGAGACGCATCTTGCTGAACTCTCGCTGCTTTCGCAAGCGGGGCCCTTCGCCGGCCGCGCCTTCAGCGTCATGCCCACACATGACGACACCAGCATCCCTAGCACCCAACTCCGAGTGCTGCTGCTGCTGCTGCGGCGCCCGCGCATGCCCTTGCAGCTCGCGCCGCGCAGATGCAGCTGCCGTGGACAGCTCGATGAGCTTGGTGTCCACCGCGCGGCGTGCCACCTCCGGCGTCCTGTCCACGCGCGCCGTGCCCCTGGAGCACGCCGTCGCGCGTGTGTGCCGCGAGGCCGGTGCAAGGGTCGCCCGCCACGTGCGCTTGGCCGACATGAACCTTGATGTGCCCGTCGCAGACGAGCGGCGCATCGAAGTCGTTGCCAACGGCCTGCCGCTGTGGCATGGATCCCTGACGCGTCAAGGCGAAGCACACCCCCATGCCGACGTGCAACCTGGCCGTGCCGTCACCAATGCTGCACGCCGCAAGCGACACCACACATACCCTGAGTTTCGTCAGGCCCGACGGTGCCGCTTTTGGTGGGTGACAGGTTTGGCTCCGAGGCCGTGCAGCTGTCCCGCGCTTGCTGCGACCTTCTGCCATCACAGCATATCACAGCTTGGATCGCGCGCTGGTCCGGCCTTTTGGCCGTTGCGGCGCAGCGCGCTCTTGCAGCGTCTCTCCTGGAGCTTCCCCCAGCCGCAGAGCTCGGAGAGGGGCCCGAGCCCGAGCTGCACGAAGTCCTTGCCGATGCGCGCTACGTCGCCTATAGCTGGCCTCGACCAGTCCTAGCTGCGCCGGCCCTGCCCAGCAGTAGGCCGTGCTTGCACCGGGACCCCTAACGCGAACCTGCCTGCGGACAAAAAGGTGCGTGAAAAAAAAAAAACGCACTGGTCCAGACAACCCTGACGTACTGCTCCCAATCATCATAGCCCGAATCCCTCATCACCAGGTTGGAGGCCAGGGACACATCAGGTCTGCCAACATTGAGAACAACGCCCATTGTGCGTTGAAGCCGTTCCCAAATTTGTGATTTCCACAACTCATTCTTCCTCGGCATTGTCATAGCAAAGATGGGACACGTCACCTCGTGTTCTTCAGCCGTGAGCCTCGCAACACTCCGACCCCGATGTCCCCAATCGGGGCTGGCAACGCTCTGCTTCTCGCGTCCTCGATGATCGTGCCTTGGCCGAGCACCGCCGCGCCGTCGGCCTGCGGAGCCCGCGCTCCCGACCCACAGTCCGGCCCATTTGCCGCCAGGTTGCTCACTGTTCGCCCTGTTGCCCCAGAGCTCGCCCTCGACTCTGCACTCTTCCGGGTCCTGCTTCTCCGTCGCTTGCGGCTCCCCCTGCCACTTGCTCCTGCGCGATGCCGATGTGGATGTGGGCGTCCGCTTGATGCTTTGGGTGACCACGTCGCTGCCTGCCCTCGGTCTGGTGTTCTCAGGGCACGGGGTGGGCCGCTCGAACGTGCAGCTGCCCGGATCTGCCGTGAGGCTGGTGCCGCTGTCGCCACACACGTCCTGATGCGAGACCTGAACCTCCAGGCACACAGGCATGATGAGCGCCGCGTCGAGGTGATCGCCAATGGCCTGCCGTTGTGGGGAGGCTCATGACAACTTGCCGTTGACACGACACTGGTCTCGCCACTTACTTCTGCCCGTGTGCCCCGGCGCCTGAGAGGCAGCACCGCTGGAGCAGCGCTGGCCGAAGCACGCCGGGCCAGAGAGCGTACCTGTCCTGAGTTCGCCGACGCCCGTCGGTGCCGCCTCCTCGGTCTTGAAGTCGGTGGTCGCTGGAGTGCCGAAGCTGCCACCTTCATCCGCTTTCTCGCGCGGGCGCGAGCGCGCAGTGCCGCCGTGACCCAGCGCGCTGCGTGCGTTGCCGCCTTTGTCACCCGCTGGTCTGTGCTTCTCTCCATAAGTGCCGCACGCTCCTTTGCTGCCAGCTTGCTGCCCCTTCCCATCTCCAACACCGCCAACCTGGATGGCAAGGCCCCTCTCCTGAGTGACGTCCTCGCTGACTCGTCCGAAACGCCTCCGCTCACCTCCCGCATGGGATGAGCTTGCTTGTGTGCTCGGGATGGTTAGGGGTTTGGTCGTGGGTTTGGTTGGTTCCGGTAGTCTGCTGCACTGGGACCGCGCCCGGATGCTTGCCAGAAGGTCCGTGAAAAAATCCTCCGCGACCTTCTCGCCGAACCATCGGCGTCGCCTCCTTTCTCCAGCCGCATGCCCTGACATGCCTACGTAGTCTGGCCTTGGTTTTGGGCGACCTGCACTGGGACCGCGTGGACAGCAAAAAGGTGTGTGGAAAAAAATGCTTAAGATAAGTTGCAGGTTTTGGCCGCAACAGTTGTGCAGACAACTGACACGGCGGAGCACGAGGCAAAGCTAGGCTAGGCCCATGCGAAGCAGTACAGTAAAAGTGCGCTACAAGGCTTAAGACCGGTCCGTGGAGCTGGACAGGCCGGTTTCGGACCCTGCAGTGGCACCAAAAACAAGCACGTGACAGCACCGAAAACTGGGCAAAACTGGGCTTCACAAGGCTAGGTGCACGGCACTACGGGCTCAGTCATGTTTGGTCTCTTAGTCAAAGTTGCTGTGGGCAGGCTTGCACATGCCTGTAGCATGTTTGGCCTTGACGTGGGGCGGGCCCCCACCTGTTGTTGGGCCCGGCAACAACAACACCACCAACAATACCAACAAAACCAGCAACACCGACAACATCAACTACGGTAGCCTCAACCACCGGCGTGCCACGAGCAGTAGCAACAGCGACAACGCAACAACAAAAACAGGATTCCCCGCAGCACAAGGCAAACGCCGGCAGCATAGCAGCTGCCACGCCACAGAAGCCTCAGCAGCTACGTCACGGGAGCGCAGCAGCAGAAGCGGCAACAAAGCTGTGAACACCAGCAAGTGCCATAGTCATCTGACAGTGTAACCAGGAGCGATAGTGCAAGAGCAGCAACAAGAGCAGCGGTAACAGCACGGCCCAGCTCCACAGCAGCAGCTAGACTGCTAGACTAAGCTAGACGACGAAGAAGTAGAGAACAAGAAGCAGCGGAGGAAGAATAAACATGATCAGGAAGTAACATAAACTGTCAAGATCACGAGCCGACAGCAACAATAGTCCAAAGAAGAGGGTTCCAGCAAATTCGACATGCATGACACACACACACACACATGGTTCTGGGCTTGTGTTCTCAAGCTTGCTGCGCAGCGCGTGACGACCATCTGGGTTTGGGCTCAAAACACCCGCAGAGCATCCACGATGTATTACGATCCACAGGGGCCGTTGCGGGCGTCAGGTTCTACACGGCCCCCTTTCCGAGTACAGGTGGCAAGCGGCGGTGAGCCAGGAAGTATTGCTTGTCCTGCGTTGTTTGCCACTTCATCCCTTTATTTCTGCGACAACTGTTCGAGAATAGTGTCGCGCAGGGATTTGGCTGAAGATGTGGACTCATACTACTGTCCGCATTGCTTGGAGAACATGCCTTCGAGTGAGGCGATGTTATGCGGTATGAGATGCTCGAAGTGCTGGGAGTGTCCTGTGTGTTCTAGTACGTTGACCCCGTGCATCGCCAATCCCAGCTCCAAGGAGCAAACATATCATTTTGCGTGTAGTTTCTGTCGATGGAGTTCGCGCGGTCGTCAAGAGGCCGAGAAGCCAGAGCAGCTGATAACACAAATCGTCGCCTTGGAAAGAGAGAGCGAGCCACGACAGAGAATGCTCGCAATGGTTGAGGCATTCCGCACCAAGGCACAAGATCAACAGCGTGAGAAGGAGTTGGCACAACGGCTGAAACGACGGTCGCTGACTCGCACCTCTTTCTCATCAGCTTCTTTGACGGCGTTTGCTGCACGCCGTTTCAGTTCAGCTGTATCGATGCGAGGGAGCACGCGCTTGTCTGCAATGGGCAGCTCAGTCCTTTCCTTTGGAAGTGGTGAGCTTGGGAAGAAGATGTCAGGCCCGTGGAGCATCGACGATTTAGAAGCCAAGCTGGTGGAGCAAGACGAAAAACAGAAAGATTTGCGAGCAGACGCATTTTTGGCAGTGTTTGCCAAAGAGTCACAGGAGCCTGGGTCAGACGCAGGGGCCAAAGACAGCCCTGCAAGACGATTCAGCTTCAGTGGCCATCCTTCGTCTGATGTTCCTGTCTTGGCCGGCTTGTCTGTTCAAGAAATCATGCGCGCCCACACAGAGCCTCTGGCGAGACTACCGGGCTGCACTCTGTTGGCCGAGCTGCAGAGCAGCATCGATGCAGACGCAAGCATAGACAGTGAAAGCGCTGGCGACTGTGCATCGCTTGGAATGCGCTTACTTCAAGTTTCCTACGGCTATCACGGAATTCCATTGGATTCTGCAAAGCCGCAGCCTCAGAATATTCTTCGCAGGGGTCAGTCGCAGTTGGAAGCTCCATTACAGCACAAGAATGCTTGGAAACTGCTTCCTGTCCGAAAGCCGCTGTTAACCAAGCGATCACGCAGGTGCAAGTTGGTTTGCAAGCCTGCAGGCGAATCTGAGGCAGCGAAGATTTGTAAAGGATTGGTTGTGAAACCGAAAATCAACCCGTGTGCAAATCCACCGTTTCAGAAGAACAGCGTGGCTTCCGGCATTCTTCCACGCATCATTCCCTGGAGTTGTGGACCTGGACACGGCGACGGCGACACGAGCCTGGTTTTCATCATGGTAAATCCTATGGACACGGATGTTGAAATTGATTTCGATCCCATGGCATTTAACAGAGAAGCCACGAATCTTAAGGAGACTTTTGCCACGAAGCCTTGGCAGGGTTTGCTCGCGGGACAGTCCGTTCATGTTTCGACGCCGGCATTTTCGACCATCATTGGCAAGTGCCCTGATGAAGCATCGAATGTTTTCGATGAAGATGTCAACCAAAATGCTGGTAAAGACAGGCCCGAAATAATTCTGCAGCGGAAGATGAACAAGATTTTGGTGCGGCTCTGCTTCCATAAGAAGCAGGCTACCACGACTTGGGAATTTTTCGCGTACTTGAAGATCAAGTTTCAGGTTTCGTTTAGTGACACTGACACGAAAAGTCACGAGGTAGAGCTTGTCCTGCGCTTCGGGCCAGAGTGTCTGGAAGATTTGGAGCAACAAGGACCGAGTGGTCCAAAACAACAGGTCTGAACAAAGCGTTTCACAATGGACAGCATTGCAGCAAGTGGAGTGAAAAGGTGCCCTTCGCCATGAGACATGCAAAGAAACAGTCTTGCGCGTTCAGCCTGTTTGGTAAAGCACGCCATCACGGATTCACAACTCAAGAGAGATCAAGAGAGGTTTGTCAGCTCTCGCTTCCACGCCATTTTGCCCATTGATCGGCAGACCTACCCTAGACTCTCTAGATCAGCAAGTAGACGCAGTGGTTGTTAGGCCGGGCATGTCGAAGCATGGTGATGCTCCAATTCAGGCATGGAGCGGTTGAATGCATATTGCTTTGCCATGGCAGCTCTAAGCCGCCTCTTGCAGCTCGGCAGGTCACAAATGCATCAGGATTGCCAACATGCCTTCACGGGAAAAAGGCGGTGCATGTCAAGGAGTTCCGGCGGGCATGAAGTCTTGGGCAGCTTTCGTTGCTGGCATGTGTTGTAGCATGAAAGGAAGACAACTACTACTAGCAAGACAGCTCCACTGACCAAGCCTTGGCTTGCTCTAGGCTAAACAGTTGCTTTCGGTTGCAGATTCCTGACATGGCGGACGTCGGAGAGGGCCGGGCCAATGAGCATTAACGAGCATGAATATCATGCTGTCTTATTGAAGGTGTTTACACACCGCTTGTGGCAGGGATTTGGCGTGGGACGCTTTCCATGTGCTGGGCGCTTTTGCAACGATCCAGCATTCATTTTGAATCGCGAAGGAACAAACGGTTAAGTAATCTGAAGTATAGATTGGCTCCCTGCTCGCGGTTTGCAGCAAGGTTCAGACGATTGCCTGGTCAATATCGTGAGGAAAGTTGTCGGGCCTGATGGGGTTCTCGTTTGGGACGGGGACGAATTCTCGGAGGAGTGGTTCATGTGGCATTCTCTAAATTCTAAACTCGTGTCGCAAAGCATGCATGTCTGTTTGAGTGTAGATGGCACATCAGCTTTTCCCAGCAGCACAGGACAGCTTCACTCGAATTTTGGACCAGGCCAACCAAATCATTCATCGCATGGGATGGAAGCAAGCTGCAGCACCTTGTGCGTCCATGCTTCATTGCCGTGACCTAGGCTTTGGCGACTAGCAAGATTCCTGCGGTGGCGTTCTATTGGTCAAGTCGCGAAGCTGCTTTCCGAAGCTCATGGCAGCACCGTGCCGACAGATTCTGCGGTGGCCTGCATTTGGTTCTTCTGGAAGATCCGCCAGGCAAGCTGGACTGTTCATGATTCACCTTCTTCGGTGCCATGCGATGTGCAAGCAGGCAGCAATGCCCAGCATGTTCCTTCTCATTCATTCTCGAAACAGGACTTTCGGCGGGCAGTGATGACAGCTGGGTACAGCTCGGCCTTGATGCGCTGCGCCTGACACGAGCAGAGACGGTGCTTTCGTTGGGGGGTGGAGGCCTGGCTACTGCTGACTGAAACCGAGACAGAGAGGATAATTGAACATGGTGCATCCACGATTGTTGTTGCTGTGGCAGGCGTTGTGGCCAAGGAGGCTGCTGAATGCAACCGACATGAGCAGCTGAAGCTGGTGCACTGGTATTTGGTTCGTATTCCTAGGCAGGACGACCCCGCACTGCAACATGTCAATACCCGCATGCAAACAATTCTGGGACTAGCAGAAACTCGACTTGCCGGCCCGTTGCTTAGCCTATGTTCACGGGCTGTGTTCAGGTTGCCTTTGCTGGCAGGAATGTTCACTGAATGTGGGTCCTTTGTCGTTTTGGTCTAATTGTATAAACGGGTTTTGTTGTGTTTTTGCAAGTGCAGCGGACAGGACCACAATTTCCCACTCGTCCCTCCAGCCTTTGCCAAGACTGTTGAACATGATGTTTTTGCCTTAACTCTCTATCTCTTTTTCTCTCGCTCTCCCCATCTCTCGTACAAAGCGAAGCAGGGCCATGAAGGACAGTCTGCTCAGCCTGCTGCTGCGAAGCTCCACCACTTGCGCTTGTCGCAATGCCCGTGAGTTTGTGGATGACAGCTTTGTTTTGTGCCGTTTTATGCTTCAGGCTGTTCTGTTAATAGGCTCTTTGCAATGCTAGCCCTGGCCACAGGATATGTTAGAAGCATTGGTCGACTATTAAACGGGAGAGCAGGCAGCAGAAGCCCATGGCCAATGCTCTGGACCTGGGCCTTCTGGCCCTTTCACTTCACTGGCACTTGAATGAAATAGCTTCCGAAAGTGCGGCCGTGCATCGGACCGATGGCCCACCGAGATGTCCAGTCTCCGGGCCCGTTCAGCCTCGCCATAAGCTGCCCCATACTGCCCATCACTGCACATGCTTTCTGCGCCCAGCTGTTGGCTGCTGAGGCCTTCGCTTTCAAGGTTTGCTCCGGACTTGTGTGTAGGTATGCTGGCCAACAAGCGCACGGGTAGGACGGTGTGATGAAGACAAGTGGGAGTCTGCACTCGCTATGTGGTTCCGGCGTGTGTCCCAGGGCGTCGTGCTCCAGTGGTGGACTTGTCACACTTGCTACCGTGGGTCGAGAATCGTCAGAAACGTGCAGCCGTGCTGCTGGATACGTGATTCAGGCACGGGCTCTCGGGCATAAAGCCCCAGTTAGCATTCATACATGATCATACATGCTTTAGAGAACAAGCAGACTTCCAGAAGGCTTCATGGGGCAGGATGATGCTGAATTTGCGGAGCTTGAGGGGAGACATGTGGAAGAAGGCATGTGTTGTTCACAGATGCGATGACTATATACCTGCGGGTCAGAGGGAACCGGAAAAGCAGCTGAGATTGCTGAGCACGCAAGTGTGAATATCCAGAAATTGGTTCTGTTTCAAGATGGTGTGCGTGCTTCTGTGTGGAGTCGTGAATGTACATATGTAATGTCAATTCCTGTTTGGTGAATGCATTCACTCATAAGTTGAGTGCTGCATTGCTGTGCCCACTGTATTTGTGCACAGGTTGAGCGAAGACTTGACTGATTTCGGAGCCCTCTACGAGCAACTTCAGTCGGAGGGCTCGTTCAATATGGAGCTGGTTCCAATTCCGAGCTAAGCAAGTCAATGGTATGCTTCCGCGCCATGCGCAAGCAGACATCGTGAACATGACCAGCCTCCAGCAAAGAGCATGCACAAGAGGCCGGCAACAAAACATCACCGGGTGGCTCCTGCCACGCCTCTTTGATGGTCACGAAATACTGGTGCTGTCCGAATGCATCCCGAGATTGCACCGCACTCCGCGCTGTCGAACGGCCATGGTCTTCTGGATTCAGCTTGGTGGAGCAGGAGACTGACAGTTATCTGACAAAGTGTTCAGCCACAGAGTTTGAGCCATGAGCCATTTCGCGAATGCTTCGGGTATCTCCACAGCATGGAAAAGTCACGCGCACGTGTGTCCTTGACGAAACAGGTAGCATGCCTTTGTTTGCTCGCATAGCTTGTCAATCACCCGTCCTCGTGCCTGGTCTGATCTCAAGCCTGCACAGTCCGTCAGCGAGCAGAGCTGACATGAACTGAGTGCTACTGGTCATGTCTTTGCGCACGCAGCGCCGCCTGCGACTCCAAGCTGGGAGGTGGGCGCAAAGTGCGCACGCCTTACAGCATCAGGGCCTGACAGGTCAGTTTTCCAAGCCCACGCGTGACCCAGCTTTCCAGTTTGACGTTTGTACTCAGGTCATCGTTTGTGGCATCGCCACTGCTGGGTTGACGAAGCTGTGCTTCACTTCGCTCAGTACTACCACCAGTCGTGACAGCTGCCGAAGCAGCTAGTACAGCACGTGCTTGCGTCGATCCGAAGAATGCACGCTGTAGCTGTTGTCCCCATGTGCAACTCTTCTGTTTCTTTGGCGTTCAGCGGTTCCTTCCTGTTTGAGGCAAAGGCTTGCTGCAGCATGTGGCAGTAGCCGCATCTGCAACGACGGCTGCTGACGTGCAGAGGTTGTCAAGTTTGACTCACTAGCCCAGCCCAGCCTTCACGCTCACGAAAGTGTTGCAGGCAGTCCGATGGACTTCTTCAAGGAGTGTTGACGTTTCTCGAGTATGTAGTGTGCAGGTTTTCGTGGTGATATGCAGCGGCGGTCCGATGTTTAGCTTTGCAGCCTGTGCAGCTGCCCATGCTTCTTGCTATTGCAAGGAGAGCGATTTATTGCCACCTGCTCCATTAAGTTTTTGTGCATGCGTGTGGAAATTCAGTGTGGGCAGGTCCTGTTTTTCCACATGCAACAGTCATCCCGACCGTGAGGCGATGAACCGATATCGAATCAGAGAAGGTGGCGAAGCCCAATTTGAGCAGCGCTGGGGTAGTGCTGACTCTACAATTGCAGGCTGCCTGTGCTGAATTGGCTACGGTGCAACATGTGCAACGACACAAGACATGTGAGAATGGCGGCATTGTTCAACTGCTGCTCATGTTTACTGTTAATCGAGGCTTGGATGGATTTCGCTGGTTCTGCCTTCTACGACGCGTGCCAAGCACACCTAAGTCGACGGGAGCGCTCTCCGCCAGCTGGCTGTCAGTCCAGCAGTCGAGTTTCGAGTTCCACTCGCGCAAGGGAATTGCGGATTGTCGCAGTACTAAGTCCAAGATAAGGTCCAAGATGGGGGCAACACAGGGACCGAAGGCAATTGAACTTGAATCCAGACCAGCGAACAACCAGCACTCGGGCTGGGTCTCACATGGTCTCATCAAGTGGAGCCTGTGCTGTTTGAGGGCGGGGGCGAAGGCCCCGAGATGAAAGGGAACCAGCCATTCACACATGCTGACATATGACGACTTTGGTGAGCTGCGCGCTTGCGGGGCCCAAAGTTCGAGCATTCATTCATTTCTCACAAACGAAACACGAAATCTTCATATGATCCGGATGGTCAATGCAGGTCAGTGCAACATTGGTTGATCTTGGCTGCACCTGTATGAACGAACGAAACTCGCGCCGAAGTTTCACATGCATGGTGCGCATGTTGGAAGCCAGCTTTTCGATTCTACTCATGTGTACATTGCCTTTGCGCGACACGGTTCAAGGTGGTATACAACTACGATGACGAGCAGTTTGAAGATGAATCTTGGGCACACGTGGTGTTTGGTCTGTACCGCTTGGTGCAGCAGATACTAAGATGCTGATGATTTGCTGTTGTAAGGATTACACCTATGTCTCACTCAGCGTTTGGGATACCAAAACGCAGTTTGATGCGGCGCGTTCAGCTGAACGTCCTAACGTGGCTTGGCTGTGGAAGCCAGGATTAATTCGCATCCATTCGTTGAGCTGGGCCAGGTCGTTTCCATGGAACACTGCAGTCACAAAGTGTTTCGCAGGAGCCAGATTCCACAGAAGGCAAAGCAAGCTTCACAAAGATGGCATCGCACTCGGTGGAAGCGTGGCATGGTGACATTGAGAAGAGAACTTCGAGTAGCATGCCATGCTCTTTCAGAGATCATCAACTGCGACAGTGTCTTCTTGTCCTCGGTGTCGCTGTCATGTCAGGATTATTGGGTTCCCCCCTCTGTCCGCATCCCTCACCGCCTGGATGTCCTGCTCGTACTCCTTGTGCCCTGCCTCCATCTGGTCCGCTCTCGTGCTGCGGCTTGTGGCCGGGTGCTTTGGTTCTCCTGGTTCGGTTCGCGGTCCTAGTGCCTTCGTCGTGGTTTCTGTGCGGGTGCTCCCCGTTGTCGGCCAGGCTCGACTGCATATGCCCCCCGCCCGCGCCATGCGGCCTGAAAGTTCGCTGAGGCAGTAAATGGTGTCGCAACCATGACAGGGCCACCGAAGCCTGCGAATTGGGATGGGATGCTGTTGGAAAGCAAGGCTCCAGCATCCCAAGGTTCTTGAAGCGATTGATATGACCGTCAAGCTTATTGCGCTGCGAAAGGTGGCAGATGCGGCTGACTCCAAGGTGTTCATCGCCGAGATCTCAGGTTTGGCTTCTTTCGCTTGGGGTTGGACGGCTTGGACCTGTGCTGGACTCGAGACTACACTTCTCGAAGAATAGCTCGGCCATCCTCTGTGTGAAGTTTTGTTCTGCTGCATGCGTTCTATAAACCATCCCTTTTTACAAGGTGATGAATCGGTTCGCCGTGAAGGACGGCTGTGAGCCGGAATTTGAGAAGCGGTGGGCCCAGCGGGAAAGCAAACTGCAGGAGGCACAGCCCGACTCAAAGCCTCTGTAGGACTTGAGGTTCAAATAGTGAAATATGCAGAGTGCTTGACACGGTTTGTGCTGCTGTGATCTGCTGCGCTTCATCCGCAGGCCGAGGGATTCAAGTTCTTCCAACTGTTGCGGCGAGACCAAGCGCCCGATGACGATGTGTTTTGGATTGTTTTGGATGAGTGATGGTTGGGGATGTTTGGAGGCCTGTTGCACCTCGAGCTTGTCGCAAGGTAAACTACATCAGCATGAGTGCCTGGACGGACCGGGATGCGTTTGACAAGTGGTGGGGAAGCAAGAGCTTCGTGCTCAGTGTGATGCAACGGGCCTGCACTTCAATGTGCGAGTCTTTCCCGCAGCCATTGGTTCCAACAGTGTTTGTGGAGCGTAGCGTTCCACCAGAACTGCGACTGGAAGGATCTTGGCTGGCTCCGTCTTTTACATGCAGCTGGGAAATATATTCAGGCACGAATATATAGCAGGCCTAGCCTTCGACATGCAGCACCGTACCAGTGATGTTTACCATCGCCTGTTTGTGGACATCTCTGCGCGGTGGCAGCATTCTGAAAGTTCCATCACAATGACCGCAGAGGAGGTGGGCGGCCTTATGTTGGTCGAACCTGACTGTCAAAGGGCTCATTGGCCCGGCCTTCGACTGTGGGATCTGAGAAGAAAAAGAAGTGCCACCTCAGAAAGCTTTTGCGAGGCATTGTGAGACTTTCAATACCTTTCCCGCTCGTTCTTGGAGCAGACACGATCTTCCGCGCTTTCTGTTCTCAGGCTTTGCAAACATGGCCCAGGCGGCTGCAGCACTTGTGCTTGCTGTTTGTGCGATCTGGATTGCGGACTTGGTGTCTTTTGCGCACCTTCGGCTAAATCGTGGAGTGGAAAACATCGTCGCACACCAGCAGCCCCAGCTAGCCAACCAAAGACCGTTTCAGAGACGACAAGAACGGGAGACACGACAACTACCGACATACTCGCTCGTAGAAACAGCAGGCTCGAATCAGGAAGCCACAACAACAACAGAGAAATCCTGATCGTCGTTCTGAAAGGTCCTTGATCTTCGTCGTGAAACCTTGTTCTTTCATCAAGTTCTCTGTTCAGACGCCTGCAGACGGGGCGGGGCTGGTGGTACAATCGGTCATGATGACAGGTCCAAGGAAGCTTGCTGGAGAGCGCCACTTGGTTGCATTGAAGAGCCAGCTGCATGTTGGACACGATGGTATCGCAAGAAAACAGTCAGCGTGGTAGACAACACAAAGCATAGACAGTATTATCAAGGAAATCGTGCGATACTTCTACGAGGGTCTGCTGCTTGGCGTTAACGGGCATACTTGAGACTTCACGTGATCTGAGTTGACACTTTTGGTTCAGTGATGTGCAGTGCATCGTGCTTGCGGTTGGGCCACTTGGAGAGTCAGAGGCTGGTTGTGGAAAGCAGCCAGGGGCTTTGAAGCTTCCCCCACAGTTTAAAGTTGTCGGCCTTCTAGGGCTTCTTGAGTGCAAGGTCCTTTGACCGTTTTCCGTTGCACATTTTTCTCGCTGCTTCGTCCTCTTGCAGACGTGAAACACGTCGGACATATGTGAATGCTAGTCGAGAGTGGCTTGCCATGGGGACAGTCGTGCAGATTCCACTGGCAGCTTGGACACCGTGCAGAAGATAGTTTGTGAAACGACATGGGCACAGCTTGCTGATTCAGAAAAGCTTTTCGTGCTTGGGTCATGAGCTAGGCATTACAGTACCGGTTACACGAAGAGATCAGCCTTGTTTGTGCGGAAGCCACTTCTCGTTTAGGCTATGCGCCATGCTACACGCAAGAAGTGTTGAACAAGCAAGCTTCTTTCTCCCCAACAAGTAGAAGTTAACGCCACCAGTGTTGTCCCAGCACAAGACTTCGTCAAGACTTACAGCAATGGCCTTTGTAAGCCATGGCGTGTCAACATGGGTGCCTGCCTCATTGCTGTTGGAGCATCAGCATGTCGAGCAAGCATGCAGGTTTCATTTTCGGCATGCTTTTTTGCAATGCAAGTTGTGAGATGTTGTGAGAGCAGAATTAGAGGAGAGTGCTGTGGAGAGGCCCACGGCGTGGTCACCTCGCGGTGCGAGCCGCGACCTGCTTCGTCGATTGTTCTTGAGATGCGTGTTCGCCGTGTTTGGGGCGTTTGAAGAAGTCTTGACATGTTGTGCGGGCCTGCCTTTGGTTCTACGCTGAATAGTTTCTGTCAGTGTGCCATGGGTAGGTAGCAGCACATGTTGTCGTATATGCTCAGAGGTTTATGTAATGGTTGAAGTTTCCGTTACGAGTGCTTGTTGATCGACGAGCCCAGGAGCATCAGCAGTAGGGAAACTATGAAATTCTGCGGACCGAGCATTCATGGTTGGCCCATGCACTCATGTCGATGCTAAGTGGATGTGGTGGCACGGCTTCGATGAGTTAATGCAACTTCCCTTTGTGTCCTGGGCTGACGGCTGGGCAAAGCTGGTCTCTTGACCAGGCTGTCTGGCGGGCATCGTGCAGATGCTTCGCAGCTTGCGGCAGAGACTCGGCCAAGGCTGCAGGCCTCGCACATCAGCTTGGGGGTGGGAGCTCTTTTTCTACAGCGCGTTGTCGGCCCGTTGCGATTGCCTCTTGAGTGTCTCGAGGGAGCATCGCCACGTGACTGGTGACTAGCATCAGGGCGACGGCCCCACTGTACCCGAAAGGTGCAGAGATACCCTTCTTGCAAACCGTGAAGCTGGAGAGGTGTACCGGCTGGAGGCAAGCTCTGACCTTGTCGGATCTTTCCTCTGGGGCAGTCTGAGTCAAAAGCCATGCAACTTGCAACATTTTGAGACGGTGTGGCAGGAGGCTGCTCGTTCCGTTTCGGAGGCTGAGATCTGCCAGCGGGACAGCAAACTGACGCTGACGCTGACGCGTTGCTTTGCGAGCAAGGAGGAGCTCGCTCGCATCCTCGGCAACAGCTTTCCGGGCTCAGGGCTGCGACCGGCAGAAAACTGCGAGGCCTGGCGGAAACCAAAGGCGTCAGTCTCGTTTGTCTTGAGCTCTTCAGCTGTGCAGCGGACAGGACCCGGAGGATTTAGAGCGACTGCAGGAGGAAATGTTGGAATGCATGTATCGACAGTGCATTCTGCAAACTGAGGGCTGTAGCATGGAAATAGAGTCTGTTAGTGCAGATATGGAGCCTGCAGGAATTCCTGGAAATAGTGCAGAGCTCTGATTCCCAGGCGCGCAAACGAAGATGCCGGATAATTGTCGAGACAGCGTGTCTTGATGTTGCTCACAAAGAGATGTCCGATTCCGTCGCTGTGAGAATGCCGTCCTTGCAGGCTGCGCTGCGAGCCGTGGAATCGGCCACCTCCGAGATAGTGAATGCCAGCTTCGACCTTGGACATTCTGTGCGAGTATGTGCACCTGTGTGCTTTGCAACGTCCATCATCTGATCTGAGGCGACGAGTGTGTGGGCAGTGCCCTGCATTTCATTGCTGCCGAGGGGCATGTGCAGGCAGAGTCTTACAATCGGTCGAACATCTCGTTGTGCAACCACTTTGGCCGCTTGGGGCAGGCATGCCGTGCTTTACTGGCAAGGAGCGATTTCGGGCAGGTCAACTCCAGGAGCGCATAAGCCTCTGGAGGGCCGAAAGGGCCCCAAACTTCACAAGGCCATGCCAGCAGACTTGCCAGGAACGGAATCGGCTCTACGGCCCTTCACATTGCGGCTGCGAATGACGAGGAGGAGATTTGCAAGATGATCTTGGCTTGCCCAAGGCGGCAGAGATGTTTGCAATGCAGTTTGTTCGAGTGGTACGCAAGACCAGGTTCACAGTGGGAGCAGCTGCCGTGAACAACAACGGGCAGACATCGATGGACAGATTGAGCCTTGAGGCCGCCTTCGTTTGCTTCGTGTGTGTGCACATGCCGCAGGATTTTGCGGCAGAGTTCGGGCCACATCCCCAGATGGTCAAAGCCGCTCAGATCGGCTTCGTCTCGCACATTGCCACGTTACAAATGCCGTGACGCACGAAACGGTGTGAGGGTTGTTCCCTTGCAGCGCCAGCTCAGCTCTTGGAATGGCTGCTTGGAGGACTGGACTTTGCTTGGACATCCTCGAAGCTTCTGGATGTCGCTATGGTACATGCCGTCGGCGAGGGCGACAGGTCCTCACCAGGCGATCCCTCCTGTGGATGTTCGCGAAGTAGCTGGTTATGATGTTGCCTTGGAGGAGACCTGCGAATGCGCTGGGTGCACAAGCGGAGGCCTTATTGCCCAGAAAGAGACAAAGAGATGAAACGGAAAGGGGAGAAGTAGGAGGGAGAGGAGGAGAAGGGGAAGGAGGAAGATGGAGGAAGAGGAGGACGGAAAGATAGGACGAAGACGACGGCAAGGATGAAATGGTACAAGAGTGCAATAGCCAAGTCATGTCATGCCGTCGAGCCGGCACGTCTGCATCTGCAGCTAAAGCATGGATGTGCATGGAAGGAGGTGGCAGACATGAACGAGTTGGACTGAGACGACGCGTGACCGGCTGGCCTATGTGTTTTTGTCCTGTGCTCTCGTTTTTGTTGAGGGGTATTTGGTTGCGTAAAGGTCTGACTTGAGACTCATTCATTTGGCCGGATCTGGCATGTCAAACACCGCAGCTGGATGCTTGCGGAGGTTGTGTGGAGGTGAAACATGGCAAAAGGCAGCCATTACTTACAAGTGGTCTGTGAAGGCGACGTCTTCGGTGGATTGACATTCGTGTATTCGTCAGTTTTGCTCGCTGTTTTTACTGCTTTGTGCTTTTCTTTTTTGTTCTTGGTTCTGTTGGGATCCGTGTTCGTGCGCAATTTGGTCTTGCCAATTCCCCACTTCTTAAACTTACCAAAACAGGAACCACCTCCCAACGTTTTCAATACAAGGCATAATACAATCCCAAACAAGGCAGTGCTGCCCCTCAAAACTGACCAGAAACTTTCCAGATGCTTGTGGGTTGGGGTTGCTACCAGGGCACACCCCAGGGTTGTTTGCTTCTACTGGTCACTGTGCCGACTCGCTAGCTTACATCTTTGCCATCTTCCTCGCCGGCATATCAACTGCTGCGTTGACTTGTTTGTGGAATTTCGGCATCGCCTATTTGCCGCGGTTCCCTCGATCACACCTGTTCCCTAAGGCCTCTTCTGAGCAGGCTGCTCCTCCTGACTTGCGTCTGAGGGTTTCTCATTGTGTAAACGACGAGAGTTTGGCCCAAAGCATCGCTGATTTGTTGGCGGCCCGAGAAGTGGTGTGTTGACTTTGATGACTTCGTGAGCGAGTCACGTAAGAGCTCGAGTGGGAATGTTCTCCATAGGACCTGTGCCCAAATCGTGGCCAGCTTCCCTCGTCCTTCTCCATGCTTTTTTGTTGGCTGTCGCTTTTCTCCTTCCGGACCATCGCCCCCGCGGGCAGAGTTGTAGGGCAAAGGACGTGAACGTGCTTACCAGACTTTGCGCAACCTCCAGTCCTGCTTCCGTTCCAAAGTTCGTACGGTGCGTTACATCGTGCTTCGCCGTGCTCGGCTCTCAGCGCCTGCATGCGCCTGCCCGTTTCTCAATTTTCGCTTGCAGCTGTCAGGCTCGCCATGGGGCCATGGGGCCCTTGAAATTGACACTGTTGCCAAATCCTTCGGGTCAGTCTCTGCGGAGGACGAGTATACCTTTTTCTCGTCATGAACATGCAGGCTTTTGGTTTTGCTTTGCGACTTTGGTGCACCACACTGGTTGGCAACTACCTTTGTTTGCCTCTCCTCCAGCGCAACGGTGGCTTCCTTGCTTGCGGCCCTCCCTTTGAGGAAAGCGGATTTTCTTGTCGGCATGAAAAATCCAGTCCTGCTGCTGGACCTGGCCAAGTCTGCTATTGGTGTCCTGAGCCTTCTCGACCCTGTCACAGAGTCTGGGGGCCCAATATCTCGCGTATCACGTGGGAAGCGGCCCGCCCAGTGCAAGACCGGAGCGTGGTAGTACGGCTCAGGTCAGGTGCAGGCCTTGGCTGCCAGAGACTGCAGGCAGACTTGTCCACCTTCTTCCTCCGGGTCTGCCAAGACTTCTACCGGAAGTTTCGCCTTGCTATTGCAGTGCCTCAGAATGTGGAGGCTTTTCGAGCTTCAGCACGTGAAGACAAAACAAGCTTTTGTTTTCGAGCTCCTCTCAAAACGACGCTCCTGCTGTGGCGAAATGCACGAAAAGCAAAACAAGATGGGGACTCCAGAGATTTGGCCTGGTCGCCGAAGCATGGATCATATTAAATTCACTCCAAGCCCGGGTTCGTGAGCTTTTCTCTTCCACGCTGGAGTTGCACATGCAACAGCGAGCGGCGCACGAACGCATGTACTATCGTGTTTGTGTACACAGCGATTTTATGGTGGCTCGTGGACATGCTTTTGCAACTGTCGTTTCTTGCCTTTCTATGTTGTTATGCTGCTGCCTTCTGTAGTTGTTCAAATTTTATGCTTGTCGATTCGTGGATTCTCCTGCTGCTTCTTACTTTTTGCATTCCTCTTTCGCGAGTTTGCTCTCAGAGAGAGAGCAAAGTAAGATCAGCAAGGCCACATGCGCCTCATTCAACCTGCCCAAGTAAGTCGCAAGTGTCCTGTTTCAGCTAAAGATGCTGTGCACTTGCAGGCTTGTTTCATTTGTCAAAGCTCAAAGGAGGCTGCTGTTCGTCACAGACCAGTGTCACTGACTCGGGCAATACAGCCCCTGCAATGCAAGTGCCGCACACACGTACTGTAGTCGTTTTGCAACCGGTGTAGGTGGGGACGAAGACAGCAGAGCCCTGTTCCTGGCGGTTGCGCAGGTCCGCGAGCCATTTGTTGCCGGACTACGTGTCACCACAGTCTTCCTATTCCGGGACTGCTGTTGAAGTGATAGGCCTGCAGATGTCCGTGGGATGTGTGTTCATTCCAGGATGTTGTACAGTGGCTTGTTCGCACAGCAAGCACGATGTGCACAGGCAGGCAATGGCTTTTGCGAAATCTTCACGTATTGCCGCCCCTCATATCCGGATTGTCAGGCAACGCAGCTGGGTGTTCTGATGAGCTGCGTGCTGGTGTGCAGATGGAGGCTTGGGCTTACAACATTGTCAAGGCTCAGTCGTGACGATCCCGCCACCAGTCTTTAATGTAGACAGTGTGACAAAGGCACAGACGGAAAACCCGCAGAGGCAGGGCATGTTGTTAGCCAGCTGACCTGACCGAAGCAGTTGCTGCAGATTGCACAAAAGGCCTCGGAAGACATGTTGCTCGCTTGCCTGTAGCTGGAAAGTACGACGGACCAGCACTAGACGAGTGATCGCCCTGCCATGCTTATCTTGTTTCGTGCGGGTGTGGTTGCCTGACGCAGTGTGTAGCATGTTTGCAAAAGGTACTTCGGCTCGGATCCCTTCCGAGCGCTCGGACGGCTGGTCGAGGTGCTTCGAATCGTCTGCGGGACCGCACCATCGTCTGCTGTCTGCTCAGGTCTTGTCCCGCATCAACGCTGCTCGCACTGCTTGGCAGGTTCGAAGCACACTGCGGTTGATTTGCGACATGCTTGCAAAACTCAGCAGATCTCGCAAGGATTCGAATTTACCGGTTGCAGTGCGAGGGCAGCATCTGCGATCTCAGGCACCGCAGAGCCACGCAAAGCAGGTGCCTAACTCGCTTACTGTATGCTGCCGGAGGTGGCGAGCCTCGGCACAGTTTTTGTCAAGCCTGCCTCTGAGATTGAGCGGAGCTAGGACGCTAAGATTGTAGGAACCAGGCAGAGCGCAGACGGCAGGACGGTGCCTGCAGAGGCGCTTAAGCAAATCTTCTAGGATCTGTGAGGGCTGCTGGCGCCCGGCCTCGTCCATCAGAGGCAGCTGAGCTAGGCAAGCTAAGGCGGCTACACGCAGCACCAGAACCGTTACTGCCGCTTCGGAAGTGTCAGCGCACCTAAACCCAAGCTGTTTCATGGGTTCACTTCTGCCCTCCGGTCCACCCCTTCCAAAACTCCGGAAAGTCTTCAACTCCGCACGCGGTTTCAGACTCGCGAGGGCAGGTCTGGCTGATGGTAAGGTTTCAAACCCGTTTTCAACAGTGAAGACTGTCAGAGGATCAGGGGCTGAATGGGGAGGGAGTTGGGGTGGGGCAAGCCGTGACCGTCTGCGGGAGAGCCTCACAGAAATGCCCAAAAGCTGATGGCCTTGCTGATTAGGCTGGCGCAGACGATGGCCACGCGTTCAGACTTGGTCACGAAAGAGCTCGGCAAAGAGTTGGGGCTACTGCAGGACTGGTGCTGAGTGCGCTTGCACCGACTATATAGTTTAGCATCACTAGCAGTCTAGCACTCAATTGCCAGGACGCAATGGGCCAGTTCCCAAACGATGTTGCCATGCAAACTATTCGCGAGGCCAGGCAAAGCTTCATGGAGGCATGACTGGTGTGAGTGCACTGTGGCTTCGGCAATGCCCAGTAAGTCACTTTACACAGCTTTATCCGAAAATGTTCGCTATCAGTGCTTTGCGTCACTGTAGTTGTTCATCTCGGTCTTTAGTTGACCGGGATACTGGAATGTTTCTACAGGCGCGCGTGTGCAGCGAAACCATCTTTGGTTCCGCTAAAACGGCATCCAAGTGCAGGGCCGATGCTGCCAGAGTTGCCCAGCTAACTGCCCAAGTATATCAAGGATGATTTGCATGCACTTGGCGTGCCGGAAGTGCTGTACTCGCACGCCTGCGAAGGACGTCCACTTTGCTTCAACAAATGTCCAGTTCAACAAGAGCTTAGGCCGCCTCGATACAGGCAATGATCTTCACATAAGTTTCTGCTCGTGCGGCAGAAGCCATGCGGTCGAGTGTGGCCTGCGATGTGCACACAACCATTATCACTAGTGAAACTAAGGCGCGAAAGCGGACTACCCTCTTTCACAAAACAAATAAAAGCAAAACACATCCACTATCCCACGTCTAGACCGGAAACCAAACTGCGTGTGCCAGACTCTTGCTTCCGATCCTGGACATAGCCTGTAAGTCAGGATTGTAAGGAATCGCTGGTCAACAGAGAAGCTGGTCCGTAGTTCTCACATTCCAGCTGTGGATCGTATGCGAATAGCCACATCCAGTAAAACTTGGGACAGCTCACATCGCAGATGCTCTTCCAGAACACCCGAGGTACCCCGTCCAGGTTTGCGAGCATTCTCGTCACGTGAGATTGGCAAACAGTTCGGTATGCTCAGTACTTGAGTCTTTCAAAGGCGTCTCTGCTGTCTCTGGGTTGCTCTGTCGGGGATACTTGCGGATGCTGATAAGATATAATGCCGCGAACAGCTGCAGTTTCATGGGATGCTTCCCGAGTCATGGCGATAGTACAGCCTCAACTTTAAACTCGCCTGTGCCGTTGAGTGTGCAGCTGACCCGTCAATGGTTTTCGGAGACTTCGCGGAAACTGGAAGGAATTTGGTTGGCATGGACCCGTTGCCGCGCCAAGCACTTGGTGCGCTGCACGCAAAGATACGCGAAGTTGGTACCGGCGCACGTGCACAACTCAGGAGTCGAAGCTTGGAAGGTGACGGACTCTGCAACAATCCACACGCAGAGGTGTAGGAAGTAGCTCAGCACAGTAAAGTGTGTTCAATTTGCAGGTGCGCAGCTGCAGAACCCTGGTGAAAGTGCACCACTTTTCTCTTCTCTGACGGAAGAGCCGGTGGCTGCAGCGCCTTCAGTGCTCCTTTTTCTAGAGATGGACTGCAGCGTGAGCTCGCGATGAGTGGATCTGCCGCAGCGGCAAGGCAGCGTCGTTGGCGCAGGCTTGGGCAAGTTCTGCTGAAAACGAGAGTCCAAGCTTGCCAGCGTCCAGAGACTCATGTGCAAGACTGCTTGTAGAGTATCCTGGCCTATCCTGGCCATGGCGGGTGTCACAGGGCCAGGTGCGAAAGAGCTGCAAGTCACAACCTGCCAACCTGTATTGTACCAGGTGTATCGGGGCACACTCACTGACGGAACCGAGGCCGGGGCCCGGTTATCTTGTATCGAGTTACCCCACGCCGACATGTGCAGACAGGTTGCTGTCAAGGTTCAAAGGCCTGGACTTGCAGAGCTTGTAGGCGGGCGCCGAAAGGGCCGGAAGCTCACAAAGTTTGAGTCCAGTCTAGTTTGGATGCTGGCAGGCCTTGATTTCTACGTGCTCAGACGAATCTTCTCCACGGTGAATGTATGGAACTTACTCAGCATCGAAGCTTTGGGCAGTATGGTCGTTCAGCAGATCTTTTGATGGCCTTCTGCCGGCCTACACATATCCACCCCTGATAGTTCGTGCGTGAGTCTTCAGGAATCGACGGCCAATATGACCACCGCTATCGAATGGCTTCGGCTTATTTCGTTTAGCATCGGCAACAGAACCTTTCCAGGCATTTCATAGCGAGTAAGGGTATTGCCGAATTGCATCCGCCAGTACTGGCTAGGGCCTCGGGCTGGAAGGTCACAAGCCAGCGGGGCGGGGCAGGGGCAGAAATCAGGCAAGGGCTTTGCGACAACGGGGGTTCAAATCATTCGTGCCCCACAGGCAATGTCAACCACGCGGCAGGGGGTATGCCTGTCCTCTCATCCAGGGACTTCTTCCGACAATGTGTGTTTAACCTGCCGATTCTTCAATACTGTGCGATCTTCGTGCAGGCACGCAGGTACGTACGCTTCGTTGGTGCATCGTTCACCCCGTTATGAGCTTAAACTCGCACCGGCACCCTCGTCCATGTGGCGATGTCAAGAAAGTCGCTGATACGGGGGTGCCAACAAATAATTTCATTCGGGCTGGAGTGGGGCACGACGTAGACCCCACCCAATCTTGTCAAGTTGTGAAGAGCAAGATATATTTTCAATGTGTAATTTTTTGGATTTCTTTGATTGCTTAAAGAATTAATATTCAGTACTACTACAACAGAAGTAGATGGGAAGGAACGTTTTGTCAAGCCACTTCTCTCCCTCACCAGACGCAGAATAGTGAGGTGTGTGTGTGTGTGTGAACTCCTCTCGTACATGAGGTAAGGGATTCACAATCCACACTCGCAGATTTTTTGCCGTTGCCGACAGTTTTATTTCTTTGCGGGGGGGCAATCTGCCCAGTCAGAGTGATTGCCCAACGAAGAGGCTCTGACTAGGCACTGATATCAGTCCGGGACGCCGGGCTGATGTACCTGCCAAAGTGGCCGCCCGAATGTACCCTCAAGCTGTTGTTTCCATCATTGGCCGAATCATGAAACTAAGCCTGCACTGTTGCTGCAATCTGACATGCATGATGGCCCGACCCCATGTTTGATCACACACCGTAGCGGAACAGCCTGTGCACCAACAGCTAG